CGTGGTGCGCTCTACCGCGGCCTCGTCCCGCGCATGGCTCGCGTCGCGCCTGGCCAGGGTATCACGTTTGCTGTCATGGAGCTCGTCTGCCGCAACTTCGCCTAAGCGCTCGCTGCTAGTTTTAATTTGAAATAGAATGTATGGTTATGATGGTACTACAAGAGGCAGCTCCTCCGCATGTGATGCATTCGTCTACAGTGGGACTCGACTCTATCCGCGAATTCGCGAAGGTGGTCGGTCCCGGCTGGCGTCGTCACGTGGACACACGCAGCTAGAGCTCCAAGGCCCAGCTGCTCGTGTGTTGAGCTGCATCTGAAGGCCAGCCTGAAGATAGGCTTCAAGGAAAACTGCAATTGATCTGGCTCGTGGCGACGATTCCACGAAGTTCAAGAGCAGAGCTACCAACAGCGCAGTGGCAAGAGGCATCTCACCGATCCCGGCACGAGCCGCGAGATGTGAGAGCGAAGGGTTTTTCTGCAAGCCACGAGGCAAGCGGCTCGAGGGCAGGCATCCTTATGAGGACCTTTGCGCGACCTAATTCAAGTCCACAAGCTAACGCTCGCTGCCGTGCACAAGTTGGCTGCATACTGCGCGTCTTCGGCTTTATATGACGGAACGCATGGGCTGCTCCGGCCACAGAGCAAGGGGCCTTGGTCGGCTCGCGCAAGGATGGCGAATGGCGACTACGACAGGCCTCAGTGTCTGTACAGTGTACTGTCTAAGAACTCGGAGGGGGTTGCGATTACAACACGGCGACAGAATTCAAGACGATGCGGCTCGTTACGAAAAGAGATGGATCTACTACCCGCGCGGACGGTGAGGCTGCGTTAATACTTAAAGAACAAGCCCGTGTCAGGCCGTTCTTCGACCTTCTGCTGGAAGCCCAGCTCGCCGACCGTGTCCATGATCTTGCGGTTCTCCTTCTCGAGTTCGATCTGGGCAAACGTCTTGGCGTTCTCGCCGGCATGGACTTCCGACAGCTAGCATCGTCGACGATGAGGACGCCAATGGTACATGGAGACATTGATGTTCTACCTGGACATAGTCC